AAACAATGTCAAGATAAAAAGTAGGTAATTCCCTTTTCCAATCTTATTGTTTTATGTATGCAAATTTTTTTTAATAGGTGATAATGAAATAGTAACTCTACCTGCGTCAATACTTTATACTTGGGGGGTTGTTAGTAATGCGGACTACCAGTTCCATTGCTAGCAATATACCCTGATAAGTCGACCTCCACGTGGTCCCCCCGGAAACCATCGTGCTGAATTCCAGGTATATTTATCAAGATGGGATGACTGACCTGCTCTTTCATCTTTACTTATCATACCTCACTGGTGCTCCGCCGGTATATACCGATAGCACAGGCGAGGTTACCATTACATTATCATCCATTAAAAAAACGGTTTATACTGGCTAGGCATGAGTAAGAGATGATAGGTGAGGATGAAAAGGCAGGTCAGTTAGCCCATCGTAATGAATATACAAGGAGTTAATCACAATGGTTTCCAGAGAGAGCCGTATGGAGGTTGACCCTATAGGGTATATTACTAACAATGGAGTTAGTAGTCCCCGTTACTAACAATCCCTTCTTCCCTCTGTACCAAATACGAGGACGATCAGTTTAGCCGTTAAAGTGCTAAGTTAACAACAAACAAACACAGTTCAGTTATAAAATATATTCTATGATCATAATCACTATATTAGCCTGAGCTTAGGGGGTGGGGGGAGTTGCTAGTAATTAAATTTTGTGATGATCTTTTAAGAGATGCACTGCTGCCCATCCCTCGACTATTAAGTTTACCTCTTATGACACCCACAGGAAAAGAAGAGGTAGCCCATTCTATGCCTGGACTACACGGCGAATATTCCATTATAGTTACCTGTAATAATGTATTTGACTGCCTATACTATAGATGAAACTTATACTAAATATAGAAATCACGTAAAAATAACACATAAGGTACCAATCCATTTCTGTACACAATACAGCTGCACACGCTCTTGCATGTTTTAAAAGCTTTGAAATTTTTATTTGCACAACAAAATCCCTTGTTTAAAATAATACGTCCACATTTAAAAGGGTACATCTGATGAAGTTAACGAAATTCACACAAAAATTCACAAGGACAGGAAATTAGAAAGAAAGAAATTAGCTGAATATCGGGCGCATATACCCTTCATAGGATTAAAATTATATTACATATAAAACCTGCTGCCGTCATCATGTTTATTTGAATTAATAATTGTATTTATTTTATTAGAAAATCAAGTTTATTATATTAAATTAATTAAACTTGATTTTCTATGGCTTTTTTTATAAAAATAAACATTTTGTCACTTTCACACACAGTAATCACTAATGTGATTATTTTACTAGAAAATAAAAACAAATAGAAACTTCTGACGGTTCAATTTCTTTAATTTTTAAGCGATTTATAAAGAAATGAGGTTGTCGATTCACTTATGTTTTTCGTGTTTATATCATAGTTGTATCGTTACCAATTCTGGACTTGATTATTCTAGAATATGACTTTTTTTGTAATTGATATCTCTTATGTTAGTTTTGTTATAGTTGAAATCGCTATCGTTTTATGCACCATAATTGTAATTTGTACTACAACGGTACCAAAGAGTCATACGACCAGCCTGCTGATAAGCAGTTACAATTATGTACTGACCACGCGTCATAAAAGTTAATAGTTAAGTATATATATATATATATATATATATATATATATATATATATATATATATATATATATATATATATATATATATATATATATATATATATATATATATAACTCTATGTATAAATCGCCGGTTCAATTCTAGTTTATTTGCGTATGTTTTATGGCCTTAAGCGTATAAAAGTTTATTGCTACTACTAGGTACTGTATTCGAAACGGGTCGGTATAGTGAATTTATAAACTACATGTTTGAAGTGATAAAATATTTATTTATTAAGGATATTTGATAAAACAGCTTTTTAGTAAACGGAATTGCTATTCATATGTAAATTACAAAAGTTCGATATGTACCTATACAAGTCCTTATAAAAACATAAATATAAAAAAGCTAGCGACCTGCCTTAGTTTCACACACGTGCAACGTGTTTATTTATGCAACTTTTAAACTGTTCAATGCATTTTAGCAAGGCTGATATTTTGACGTGTGTGAAAGTACTGCACTAATATTCTTTGAGATTTTAAAATGAACGGCTTGTAACATTTATTTTACTTTTAGCATAAAAACCATCTCTTTGACTTTTTTATTCCTTTATTTCAAACAGTTCAAGCAGCGCACACCATATTGTAGAATTTTTTCCGACTTTCAATTAAATTTATTTCAATTAATTATTGAAAATTTAAACTTTGAAATTTGAAAATTATTAAAAACTTAAAACATCTTTAAAGCCTGACTGCGGTTGTTAATCCGCCTGTCAAACGTGGCAACTATGTGCAAACCCCATAAGGGGGAGGCTTATATTCATCAGTGGATAGTTGAATTGATGATGATGATTGAAAATTTACCAAATTAGAAAGTAATCTATAGCAGTCAAGGATCATATACTTTTCTAACAATGAATAAATTTTTAAAATCGGATCAGAAGTACCCGAGATTAATCCAAACATCCGAACTCACAAACTTGACGTCTTTATCTCATTAGTATAGATAAATTCAAATTGAATAATAGAGAGATTTAATTTTCATAAAACAACAAGGTATAAACCTTAGAAAATGCCTATATCATTTGTTAATTTTTTATAGAATGTTGTTAACAAAGCTGTAATATAAATTCAATATACAATACATAGCTGAAAATGAAACCATTAGCATTAAGAAAGGTCGATCTTCGATTAACAGGTTTTTTTTAATAGGTGATAATGAAATATTAACCCCACTTGCACTATCGGTATACGCTGGCGGGGCACCAGTGAGAGGTGGTAGGTGACGATGAAAGCAAGTCCGTTAGCCCATCGTGACAAATTCCAATAGAATTAGCCATGATAGTTTCCAGGAAGAACCGCGTGCAAGTCGACCTGATAGGATGTATTGTTAATAATGGGGAAATTAGACCCCATTACTAACAATCCCCCCTCCCCGATACACACGTTAGCACACGATCAATATATTTATTATAGATTAGGGTTATAGCGAAGAAAATAAATATAATGTGTATAAATAATGCATAGTTTATTTATCATTTCTCTAGGTTTAACTTTCATTGACCGGAATAAAATACATTTTACCGCAGTCAGTGATATATGACCTATTTTCTTTTTTATGGGTGAAAATGGTATGGTAACCCCGCCTGCGCTTACGGGATACGCTGGCGGAACACCAGTGAAGGGTGACAGATGAGAATGAAAACAGGCCAGTTAGCCCATCATGATGAATTCATCAAGAATTAACCATGATAGTTTCCAGGGGGAACCACGAGGAGGTCGACCTGATTGGGTATATTGCTAGCAATGGGATTTCCATTACTCCATTACTAACAATCCCTTTCCCCCCTATAGATTAGGGTTATAGCGTAGAAAATAAATACAATGTGTGTAAATAATGCATAGTTTATTTATCATTTCTCTAGGTTTAACTTTTATCGATCGGAATAAAATACATTTTACTGCAGTCAGTGATATATTATTTCCTATTTTATATTATTTATACGACCTATGTCATTCTCAATCTCATTTACTATGTGCATATAAAATTTCATAGTGATTGGTTAAGCAGTTAAAGCGTTAAGAAGTGACAAACTAGAAAACTCACTTTTTAATTCACAATATTAATAAGTATTAGTAAAAAGTAACTTATTATTTTTATTAAAGAAATGATAACAAAGTTATTTCATTAGTAAAAGTTATTGGATCAATGTTTTTATTAATTTTTGTTTTATTTTTATTTCCATTGCGAAAAGAATTAATAAATATTTACTTTCTATAAAATATAGTTTTCATTTTTACCTATTATTTTTACTAATATTATTTCATGTTAATAAAAATAACAGGCTGTCTATTATTTATACTAACACCATAATGATTATCCATACTAATATTATAAAAGAAAACATTTTACTGTTTGTTAATTTGTTTGTTATGAATAAACTCAATAACTACTCAACTAATTTAAAAAATCTTTCACATATAAAAAACTACATTATCAGCGAGTGATATAAGCAATATATTATTTTAAAATTCTATCTACCCGTGCAAAGCCGGTTCTGATCACTAGTATATTATAAAGACTAATTACAAATAAACCTTTATCTCTGAAGATAACAAACATTAAGAAGAGGCGTGGAGCACGTACGAGATCAAATTACAACGATTGAGAGATCGTTGACCTATTTCCCGAGCGCGGTATCCCACTGTAACTGAAAACCAGTCTTTTTATAGCTTTAAAAAAAAAGCTACTCGTATTAAGTACCAATGTAAACATAATTTACTTATAATTACTGTTTACCATTTAATTAAAAGGTAATTCATCATTATATATATTATTTATAGACATAATATAAAATAATGTAAACGATTTTTAATATTATTATATCAGCCATTAACTGCCCAATGCTAAACATAAACCTCCTTCATAAAGAGGATTTTGCCAGTAATATTTATTTATTTTTAAAATGTATTTTTTTTTCAAAATTTAATCAATTATATAAAGTGAAGTATACCAATAAAATTTAAAATAAGTATATATATAGATAAATAAAATATTAACCATAATTAAAAAATAAATAAAAGATATTACACTATTTTAATATTCTTATAATATGTAAAAAGCGAGAGTCGATTATAAATATTTTAATCCATATAAAAATAAATCTTAGGTCTAATAATATATCGTGACATCTTTGAAAAGACATCATATCTAAATTTAATATAATTTCCAAAAACGCTTACAGTAATTTTCATCAAAATCGTTACAGCAGTTTTCGAGAACGCGTAATTGTTTATGTATATACAGAGAAAAATAATTGCTCTATTTATTAATATAATTATAAAATATTACATATAATACAAGTAAAATAACTTACGCGTCCAACTCGAATACACACACAAAAAAAAGCACTCACACAACACACTTTTGTTTTTAAAGTCCGAACAAGAGCGATGTTTTCGTAGCGGCGCTACGTGCTACGAGTGTGTCTACATGCGACCGAGCGGAGACTGGCCCGTAGCGGCTACGGCGTGAGTCACGTGATCGATGAGCGCACTGCTCCAAAGTCGCTTTTAGACTTGCAACATTCAATATTCAGTAGTTGTCATGAAAGCCATAAAATACTTTTTTATATTAACTTTTGTAAAATACAATAAGCAGCGACTTAAGACGACGCATGTTTGGTAATATATTTTTGTACTTTAGAACTCAGTTTTCACTGAGTTAGAACTTAGTTCGACGAGTATAAATCAATAATTTATTTATTTATTTACTAGCTATATCCCGCGACTCTGCACGCGTGATTCAATATATAAAGTATCCTATGTGCTAAGTTGGAATATAACCTATTCATGTTCCAAATTTCATTTAAATCCGTTCAGTACATTTTGCATGAAAAAGTGTCATTCATCCATCATTACGAACTTTCACATTTTAATAGAATTCTTTATTAAACACATTTAGAAAAAAATATACAATATAAAAGATAAACTTAATAGCTTTAAGCTTTATCTCTCAGTCAATTTTCATTCATTGTTATATGATTATATAAATTTAATCATAATACAAAAGTATAAATATTTTCTACCCCAAATCCAGTCATATACTAATAGTGTTATTTCAACAGAGTTATATTTTATACTATTTGTATCCCGCGCCTTTACCAGCGTAAATCAGTACATAAAATAACCTATGTGCTATGTTAGAACATAACCTACCTGTGTACTAAATATTATTCAAATCTGTTCAGTACTTTTTACGTGAAAGGGTAATATCCATTCTTACAAACTTTCTCATTTATAATATTAATAGAATTATTTGTCTTATAACTATTTATTTTTTATTTTATAAAATTCAAAATCCATCACACGCAATTATATATAAATCTAAACAGCTTTTTAAATCGTACCACATTAATCCATTCGATAAACAGATGCATTTCAATGTCCTATTGGGGACTACGACGCCCATAGTTGTAAGACGATAAAAACTCGAAATTTATGTCTTCCCTCCTTTCACATGGAGGGTTAAATAAACATTTGTCATGTTTTTGTATCAGAGAGCCCATTTTTATAAGGTTATACGGAGTGGAAAGTCGTTTAGTTGAAGATCCTTAAGGAAAATTACCACAATACAAAGAACTGCACTTAACGCTAACTGATGAAGTTTCGCGCCTACTTTCTCTTATATACGGATATATCTTGAACGTAAAAATGTACAATGTATTTCCGCCAGAGTTGTACAGAATTATACTAAGCCATCTATATACAGGACATAAGGATACTTTTGTCTTGCTCACGTTTTTTACTGTATTTCAGTTTGAAGCAGTGGATACGGCTGTGAAATTCCTAAGTACGAAATATAATACATACTTAAATCCACAAAAAGGGAAATGCATAAATCCCTAAAATATAAGATCTTTTTTTATATTAGTTTTTTTATATTTTTATATCATGTAAAATGTCCATGATTAAGTCTAAGATACTTAGTCTAATAAAAAAAAATTATTGGACATATTATTTAGCACATCCAGACACAAAGTAAAACTTATTATGAATATATAGGTATCCGTCCCGGCTTCGCATGGAAAATAGATAAAAAATAGGTATTTAATATTAGCTTTAATACGCAAATTTTCGAAATTTTTTATTATATTACTGAAATTTTTATACGATCTATAATCTATTTATAGGCTATGGTAACCCCGTTTACCATCAGACGGGCCGTATGTTGTTTACTATCATGGTAGCGTAATAAAAAATTCTCTTTTTTTAATATTATATAGCCTATGTTATTTACCAGTAATGTAGATTTTTGTAGGTGTAAATGTTTTTAAAGTCGGTCGTGTCGTTTTTGAGTTTACCCCTTACGAACAAACGATCAAATCTTTCCTCTTTTTGAAATCAGAATAAAAAAAATAATAAAAAGATTGCTTTCAGCAATAAGACCGCCTTACTATACTCATACAATTGTATCGTTACATTTATCAATTGTCTTGCTCATTCCTTATATTGTATAATGCAAATAAAGTATGCCCATTCATTCATTATATATTATTATTATATTATATAGTTAACAAAATATCCAGACTGATACAAACCCACATACTCAGGAGGGAAAGGGATTGTTAGTAATTGGGTTTGATAAACCCATTACTAGCAATATACCCTACCAGGTCGACCTCTACATGGTTCCCACTGGAAACTGTTTTGATTAATTCTTATTGAATTCGTCACAATGGGCTATCTGACCTTCATCTTCGCTTGTCATTACTTACTGGTGCCCCGCCGGTGTATACCGATAGCGCAGGCGGAGTTATCATTTCCATACTCATAAATAACAAAATTATTACGTCGGGAACAGATCTGCAAATATTGGAAAATGAAGCAATATATTTAATTACTATACTTCCGATGTAATCAAAATATTCGCTAATGGGAGCTTTAATTATTTTGAATAACTAAAGCATATCATACCATCACAATATGATAAGCACAAGACAAAATGTATAGGATTATATGAAAACGCTTTTATATTACCTTGCACGATATATAGTTATGCCGTGCACATCCATAATATCGTCTCGGTAAGTGTAGTATAGTTTGCATTGCGTTTGTATGGAAACAAAAAACATTTTCAACAAAAATATAAACATAAATATACGCCGAGATTTATATAAAACCGTCTTTATACAATTTCATAGATTAGGTCTTCATATTTACATGCTAAAAGATATTACTGTTATTTTTATTTTGATGCTAAAATGAACGGAGTTTCGAACCTCCGATCAAACTGTTCATAATTATTTTTCTCCATCCAAATATTGTCTGGAAGAAAGCGCTTGGCGAAAAGGCCGCCCATTGTTTTTGTCAGTGTAATCTTTTCGTGTAATTGTTTATATTTATAATAAGTTTACTAATTTAATCTTTTGGAGGAAACAATAAAGAGTATCTATCTCTCTGAGCAAGTTTCATTGTATACAAGTAATCACTAAATGAATGACGTCGAGTTACCTCATAACTCCGGCAGTTCTAAACCGATTTGGGAATTTTTTTTTTTTTATCTAAAAGGATATGTTTACAGCTTAGTCTATAGAAAAATTATCAAAATCTGTTTAGTACTTTTTAAATAAAAACTGTAATTGTTTTTAAATAAAAACAACTGATTTTGACACATTTGAAATAGATTTTTGTATGGGACAAAATCTTTTTTTTATACAACTTAGAATGACAAACAAACTAACGGCCCACCTTATGGAAAGTGGTAACCGTCGCCTATAGACATGAGCAGTACCATGGACATAACAGAGTATACGGTTTCGCCCATGATACCCCCCCCCCCCCCCCGCGTTGCCTTTCCTGAGGACTCGGGTGTTATTCCTCTGTACCCAGTAAGTTCACGCCATATCCCACCCTTTAAACCGAAACACAGCCATGCAAACACAACTGCTTCACGGTTGAAACATGAATGGGACAGAGGTACCCAAGCAATCGACTTTTGTACAAAGTCTCCCTCTTTAAGTATGTTATCGTTTATATATTATATTATTTTCTTTTCCATACAATTCCATACATTTAACAGACTGTTATATCCTATGATCATATTAATAAATATCATACCACGCTAGGCTAAATTAAAAAGCGCCCATTAACGTTAGTATATAAATAAACATCGCCTCTTTTCACGAGAACATTTTCATGTGGCGCGTAAATCTCCGCAAAGGTTTCATTACTTACCCGCAACGCTTCTTAATCATCTTGATGGTATTTTCATCAAATCAACTTGTACAGGAAATAATCTTAAACAAAATTACAGAGTTATTACTTTTTACTTTGTTATATTTTATTTCATTCATTTAACCCAGTGTAATAATAGGAAACCGGGGGGAAAGGGATTGTTAGTAATGGAGACTGAGAATCCTGTTGCTAGCAATATACCCAACCAGGTCGACCTCCTCGCGTTTCTCCCTGGAAACTATCATGGTTAATTTCTGATGAATTCATCATGTTGGGCTAACTGACCTGTTTTCATTCCCATCTATCAACCTTCACTAGTGCGCAGGCGGGGTTACCATACCATTTACACCCATAAAAAATAATAATAATAGGAAACCTTAAAATAAAATCATATACTGTACCTCTTGGTTGGCTTATAATAAAAATAATCATTACAAAGAAGACTACTTGATACGATTTGGTGACATAATTATAAAAAAGTTGAATAGATATTATTAACTACGTTTTCACTTGACTTTTTGATTTGAGTGGATACAACAAAAAAATACCAAAATTGTAATAACCTAACCTAAACCAAAATCCTAACTGCGATTGCTAGCCCGCCTGCCAAGAGTGGCAAAAGCGATTATAAAAATCAAACGGTCCTTTGTTAAATGTAAATTGTTATTTGTTACAGTATTTAAATTATTGAATACTATAACAATACTATAAAATTACTAATTACAACGGGAGAATATCTGGACAAGTACTTTACTAACATGTTGCACAGCTGTCATTGTAAACAAAATTTGTAACGTGTACACTTTTTGACTATAATTCCAGACGCATTGTCGATTAAAAACTTTTTGATAAACCTTTTGTTTTTGTTTTTTATACAACTTAGAATGGCAAACAAGCTGACGGCCCACCTGATGGAAAGTGGTAACCGTCGCCTATAAACATGAGCAGTACCATGGACATAACAGAGTATACTGTTTCGCCCATGATACCCCCCATGCGTTGCCATTCCTGAGGACTCGGGTGTTATTCCTCTGTACCCAGTAAATTCACGCCATATCACACCCTTCAAACCGAAACACAGCCATGCAAACACAACTGCTTCACGGTAGAAACACGAATGGGACAGAGGTACCCAAGCAAACGACTTTTGTACAAAGTCTCCACCTGGTGAACCTAAAACATCCTTCTTGAACACAATATACCTGGAAATGTGACTGTAATTTCTCATGCTTATCTAACCATATAAAACTATCTTCAATTATGTTAAAATAATTACTTTATATAATATTAATATGTTAAAAAAAATTGCTGCTTGTTCCCGACAATAGCTACCCCTTTCTTTCCCATAGGTGTCGTAAGAGGTGACTAAGGGCGAGAATGGGCAGCAGCGTTCCTCCTGAAACATCTCCAAAGCCTAATTTCAGTTGCCAATCCGCTTGCCAAGCGAGACAACTACTGATAAAACCCTCTTAATAGAAAGAGACATATAGCAGTGGACAATTAACAGCTGATATGGTATTACATAGTAATTACTTTATAAACCATTATATCTCTAATATATGTATATTAATAACAGTATATTAATGACCTACACAAGTTTACTCGTATACGGAAATTCTTATATCAAAGGGAGTAGAGCTTGTTAGCACAGCGGTACCTCTACATAATAGAATACACTATTACACTACCAAACTACCACCTGAATACTTTAAGGAAATTTCCAGAATAATAAATGATCCTCGCAAGAATTAATTAATATTCCATCAAAATTGATTATTACGTATAAAGCACGCTCTGTTGAACAAAACATTTCACAATTATGTATTAAAGGAAACTATTTCGCGTGCCTTGACTATTAATTATAACTGATCATTTAGAATAGGTATAACCATACCTAAAAATTGTTTATAATTACTCCTCTCCATCTAAAGGCTTTCTTTAATAAATCTTTTTTAGCAAAAAAATCACCAGCCACACTGAAAGCTAAGTTTAGCGAACCTAACTTCTTTAACTTAGCTAACATAACTACGGCGTCATTTCATACTTTAATTCACTACGAAGTACAGTGCTAAGCCAAGCAAACTCATTGAACTGTGTGAACTAGGTACATTGATAATGCCAGCAAAGCTAACCGCTCTTTAAACAAGGATGAAGGGAAGCCCTCGCTCGTAACACTCTCGTTAATACAATTTTGTTTATCCTGAATTTTCCGTGTGCACCCTAATAGTTTTTGTTACTTTATTTAACTCACACAATTCTATGTACGTTAAGTGAAGTAAACTAAGCTAATCGATAATAAGTTCATGTAGCTCTCAGTGTAGCCTGCACTTTAGGTTGCCTATTGCTTTTCTGTGTTCTTTTTTCTTTTTATTTTTGCTTTTGTTGCAATTTCTACTGTAATATTTTGAAGCGAACTATAAAGTGTATCTCTTTTTTCATGGTTCTAATGAAATTTTCACGGGTTCTTTTTATTCTCGTTTGAGTAATTCAACGGTGCCATTCTAGAACAGTTTTTGAGTGATATCTCTCTTCCTTTATGAATCCGCTACAAGATACTATAAGTACAACGCGGCTTTAATACGTTTTATCGGGACTTCTGATTAGTCCTGAGATATCACAATGAGGATCTAATCTTACTAAGCCTTACGAAACCAATTTGTCTCACCATCAGAGCCAGCAACTATAGATTCTAATCTGTCTGCAAACGGCAGAATTTTGCCTATATAAGGCTAGGTTACTTCTTTCTGCCATAAAGCAGCTATAGCTGTGCATATTATAATAATAAAATAAACTTTACAAACTAAAAACAAATATTTTCAAAAACAAGTCATTTACTATTAAAATGAAATTTAAATAGTAAGATGTCTTTAAAATCAACTAAAGTAATAAATAAACAACGCAAAGTAAAAAAGGAAATTCGAAATAACTCTATACCAGGCTTATCTGGCCATCATGGTAATAGTAATATTATATTCTCCATTTACGAAGGGATATTTACGCCCACTTGTAAACGATAATAAGTATTATAATACTACATATCACCCGCGACTTCGTCTGCGTAACTGGGATAAAAAGTGGACTTGTCCACCCAACCAAGTTTCAGTGTATGGTTTTTTATGCAACTTAGAATGACAAGCAAACAGACAGTTCTGTCGTTCCCACTTACCGTCCATCACTTTCCGTTGGCAAGTGGTAACCGTCGCCTACAGAGATAAATAGACCATGGACATAACAAAGTATACTGTTTCGCCTATGATGCCTCCCACGTGTTACTATTCCTGAAGTCTAAGGTACTTTTGTACCTTGTAAATTTACTACCATGTCCCACCCTTCAAACCGAAACACAGTCATGCAAACACAACTGCTTCACGGTAGAAACGAATTGGGTATAGATATCCAAGCAAACGACTTTTATACAAAATCCTCCTCTGGTAAAATGGTTAAGGCGTTAAAAGGCAACAAACAAACTTCACAGTATCACAATTATAATAATAAGAATAGTCCTAACATTTCCTACGTTTTCATCCAATTATAACATAAGATACCTTCATACAAATAGCGAATTCATCACAAAACCATATAATCAGCATTGTAGAACAAAAACCAATACCTTATGCCGAAAACGCCGTAATATATTGTATTGACTCAAAAAATAAAATGCTTTTTCTTTTTTTGCGACGCTGGCTTTTTTATCGTTTTTATTGCCAATCGCTCTATGTGCCTTTGTTCTGTCGGAAATTGAAAACGAATGTAGGTAACTAGTTGCCTCAGAACACACGTCGCTATCATGTTGTCAAATTGATAAACCAGCACACAATGTCGAAATAATCAGAAGACATGTCACATTCTCTGATCAATTCACTAGAGAGAAGCTTTGTATAAAAGCCATCTGTATAGGTATTCTATGCTACTAGTATTTCTACCATGGTGCTACTGTTTTGTTTTAAATTAAAAATTACAAAGGGTTCTGAGAGTTCCGTGAGCTACTAGATAATGGAATGGAAACTCCGCCCGCGTTAACGGTTCAAACTAACGAAGCACCAGAAAAAGCAGGTCAGTTAGCCCATCTTGATGAATACACTTAGGATTCAGCACGATGATTTTTTAAAGGGGACCATATGGAGGTTGACTTGACAAGGTATATTGCTAGCAATGGGACTAGTAGTCCGCATTACTAACAATCCCTTCCTCCCAACTACTGAGTTTGCATGGCTGTCTTTGGGTTTGAAAAGGGCAGCGAAATAACATGACATGGATCCATAACAGCTTATTCCTCAAGTATAGGGTATGAGGAGTATCATAAGCATCACAATATATTTTAAAATATACCAAATGTAATATACCTACTTACTCGTACGTCTATAACCGATGCTTATCATTCTCCATCAAGTAAATAGTCCACTTATTTAGCATTCAATGTTGATTAATATAACCAAAAAAAGACAAAAAAAAATCTTGACAATAACGTGGCAAATACGAGTACTTTTATTTGAAATAAATTGAATAACTTTGTAACTCGAGCTTGTTCTCGATTGGACCAATTTACGTAAAAGGCAAAAATTACAAAAATATCTCTGGTTTAGATGTTGAGTATTTCATATCAGATTTCACGTGATCCAATGAATATTTCATTAAACAACAAATTAGTATCTAAATCTTACTTAAATTATGAATGTTAAAGTATATAAAGATATTTATATGTTTCAGTTATGTTTAAACATTAATAATAAATAATTAAATAATACTTAAACAATTATAAAATCAATTAAAATTAACCTTTTAAAATAGCTTATCACAACATTAATAATTTGGTAAACAGATCCTATCAGAGAGTTCCAGGTTCCAAATTAGTTTTTGTACAAAACTACTTTTATAGCTTATATATAGAGATGGGCAATCCACCTGGGTGGGTTTAAAGTCTGGTGGGTAAAAACCGGGTGTTTTGGGTTTATTGGGTTTAAACCCCATAAACACCCAAATTTTTGGGTGTTTATGATTTTGTACTTCATCATCGTCATCTCAGCCGCAAGACGTCCACTATACTGGACATAGACAATATTATTATGCAGCCTACAGAATAAAAAACTTTTAATTTGATTTTGAGTTTATTAAGAAAGAGATGAAAGTAAAATGTAAAACTACAGTCAATCACTGTCAGATTCAGAGTTATTACAAGCGATGAATTGTATAGGTTCGATAGGCTCTATTTCGTCTAAACTGTTATGTTCATTTACTTGCTCAATGAAAGCTTCTAAGGTATTTTCTTCATTAAACTGAATGTCCTCGCATTCAGCTTTATGTTTAAGATTCCAGTTATAACAAATGAATGAAATTTTTTCAGTTCTTTCAGTTGTAAGTCGATTTCTTTTGTTATTATGTATGTAGCCTTGGATACTAAAGGAACGCTCAGTGGCTGCCGAAGTACAGGGAGCTGATAGAATACGAATCGCTACTTTGCTTAACTCAGTGGAACCACAAATACCTTTCCACCATATTAGGGGCTCAATGCTATCTAATGAGCTCCATACAAATCCTCTGGCCCAAAAGTTTTCTTTAGCTTTATAACACGCCAAATCTGCCATTACATTTGACAAACTTAAGTGTTGGCTTAAATTGTAGATAAACTCCATACCCTTAAGTTCTTCCTCTTGAGTAAGTTCGACTCCTAGAGTCCTGGGGTCTAGAATATATGCTGCAAAATGTATTGGCCTCATTGCCATATTGCATCTTGAAGATACTGATGTTAGAATCTGCTGTTTGCTTTCTTCGCTCAATGTCGAAATCTCATTTAATGCAAAACGTATCTTAGCTTGTACATCTCTAAATGTAATGTATGTGCGATGCAAACGATTCTGGTCGCTCTCTAAGTAAAATATGCTTTCAGTGACTGGTTCCAAAATACTTATACATTCCCCTGTCTTCGTCCAGAAATCATCACTTAGAATTAAATCTTTAATATCTCTTGAAATTACCACATCTTCTCTAACTGTTAATATTTGCAAAGCTATCTTATTTGCTTTCAAACTTTTTAACGAAGTAACATGACTTCCCCATCTTGTAGCACAAGGCAATTTTAGTGTTTGTGTAGAATCTTCACCCTGCCTTGATTTTATCAACAAGGAACTTAATCGTTGACTCCTTTTAACAGTTTTTATTATATTTATGGCTTGCATAATAAACACAGTTACTTCTTGTATCTTTACAATATCTTGGCACAACAAGTTAAGGATATGTGCACAGCAACCGAGAGGAACAACATGTGGATATTTGAGTTTTGTTAATTCGAATGCCTTTTGTATATTTCTAGCGTTATCGCCAATAAGTACAAGAAACTTATTTGCTCCATACACTTTCATTACTTTTTCAACTTCTTGGCTAAGGTATTCACTAGTGTGAGGATTACTTTCTGTATTCAAACTTTTAACGTATGCAGGTTGAGGTTTTGATATAAGAAAGTTTATTATTCCTTCATTTCTTAAATTAGACCAGCCATCGCACTGAAGGTGTAAGTAACTACAAGCATTTAGTTCCTCATTTAACTCAAAACGCATTTCTCTATATATTTTATCTAAGTATTTTGTCGCTAAAGCTTTACGTGAAGGTATTTTAAATTTTGGTTGCAATTTTTCGAAAAATTGTATCCATAAAGGATGTTGCACCATCGATAATGGCGTCCCTGTTACAAATATAGCTCTCGCTAATTCTGTTTTTATATGATCATCGGTGTCTTGAAACTCAGCATTTATTGTAGTGTTAGCAGACGACGAGGGGCTTATAAAAGAATCATTTGTCTCTATCTCTGACAGTCCAGACATTTTGGTTTTGGACGAGCTATCTTTTATAAGTTTCATAGAGTCTTTTAATGTTTCTGGAGATTTTGGACAAGTGATAAGATGTTGAAGCATTTTGGCAGCATTACTGAATTTGTAGACCTTATTACAAAGCTTGCAAGAAACAGACTTGTTTGGTAAAGTACGGTAGTGCTCCCATATGCGTAAATCTTTAGGTCTCCCCATTGAACCTAAAAAAATGAACGATGATTAGTTGGTCTGACGAAAATTCAACAATAGAGTGCCTATTTTTTTACAATGATTATTTCTTGTTATTTACAATAAATTTATTAAAAAAATAATAAAATAAATACAAAAAACCTTTGTAAAATTACATCTCCTCGGAGGATTAAACGCAGACGCTAGTTTATTATCGTATTGTTCTGTATTTTTCTCAGCAACTTCTTTAATTCGATTAGGTACTTACGCATATTATGTTAAAAATAAATATCTAGTACACATCTTAGACTATCCACCATTATTATCCAATGACGACTCTCAGCTAACTATGCACTATCATCCAAAATAAACGTGTATGGAAAATTTTATCCCAGTCGGTTGAGGATTGAGGATAATTGCATCAACATACGAACATACCTACATACTTTTATTTACATAACGCAAGCTAAATAAAAGCTTGTAATAATACATCTAATTTTAAGTTAAAATTGTTAAGTGATCATGATATAATTGTATCATTCAAAAATCCACTTACCTTTAATTATTTCTTGTTAAGTATAAATATTATTTCAAATCTGCTCCCTTAATATGCACTTTTTTACTGCTTTTCCTACCTAACACGTTACCAGGAAGTCACGTTACCAGAGTCAGAGTAATAGTGAACACGTTTGACAGTGATTGTCGTCGCCTCATATTCAGCGTCGACGAATAGGGGAATCCCCAGTCATAATGTATTGCATGCGTGGCGGTCTTACTTCAAATCCATAAACAAAGAGATAATTACAGAACTCGATACTAGATGGCGCTGTTTTTGTTTGAAGAAAGTTTGCGGGCTAAAATACATAGAATTTCATCAATGACTTCCACAAAGAACAACATTTCTGTTTTTTCTAAGTCCGTATCTCTTCCGTATATTTCATAAGATATAAGCTTGGGCTACATTGTTATGCAACGTGATTTTGTCGCTGTCTTGCTAGCAGGGTTGACAGATATACGATTTAAATCGTACTCATACTATTATTTGTCTATTTTTTAATGTACGATCGTAAAGATTATGATCGTAATTCGCACAAAAACATACGACTTTTTGGTTACCTGGCAACATTTTTATTATGAAACGAACATGCTCACATCATCAGTCACATGCAACAATTTATTGGGGATTTCCCCTTCACATCTGGCAGTCCTGCTTGCTAGAATATAGGTAAGTCAGCCACAGTTACTGACGATCGATATTTAAAGGGTATTGTTTTTGTGCTAAATATTTCATAAAAACGTTATTTAATACTTTGTGGATTATTAATTTAGTTGATAATCACTGGAAGTAAAATGGATGCTAATTTGAGAGATCAAGATCTTCGTATAAAACAGTTAATAAAAGAAAATCTACGTAAGTACTCTTTTTATACCTAGGTAGGTAAGGTATAATAAACACAAAAGGTACTTAGATCGCGTGTGTTCGAAGCATTTATTCTAATAAATTTAATTTAAAATTGTAGAAAGAAAAAAATGTCTGCCAAGCCGTAGCCGAAGCCGATCTCCAAATATATTTGGCGATAGTGAGACCCAGTGTCCAGATGATTTACCCAGCGTCGTCGCAACAAAGAAAAAAAACGAGGATAAAGTAAAAGAAAATTTACTGAAAGAAGAAACAAACTGTTCTAAATGCTTAATTTATGGAGAAGAGGATAAAAGAAATGAGTATTTCGGACTGTTAGTGGCTCAAGAATTTAAATATATACGGCCATGTGTGCGAACGAGGTGTTATGAAGAAATTTTAAAGTATCTACGGGAAGCAAAAGGCCAACATGTTGATCAACTGCAACATGAAAACACTGAAAATTAATTACTTTCATTTTATTATATATAGATTTTTAAAATTTCCTGAAATATTATTAGTTAACGTTTTATTTAATATTGTAGAATTGATCAATACAATTTATAAAAATAATTTATTGGTATTACTTACATATTTTCAAAAAAATACGTAAAAACCTATTTTTTTGGGTGATTATGGGAGTTTATGGGTGTTTATTGGGTTTTTACCAAAGCACCGGGTTTAAACCCGGTGCTTTGCCCATCTGTACTTATATATGTTACTAACAATAAAGATAACTCCCAACTATATTTAAACGATTATTGTGTTGACATTTACTCCCAGAGGGAGCACATAATTAAGTGTTATATACTGCCAAACAACAGTAGTCGACTAAATACTTCTGTTAGCTTATTCTTCTAAATTAATATATCAAATACATTACACAAGTGAAGGTTTCCAAGGCCACAGTAAGTAATACACAATAATATCTGTTTATCCGAGCTCCCAACGAAAACAAACAGCCCCTACATATTTATAGAAGGTATTATGAAAGCAATACTTATTTATACCGCAAAAACTTGAAGTATACTTCAGCTCACGACTTTTCTCATTATTACACTTTTCTTTATTATTTTCCATATTCTTTTCGTTTCAAAATTGTTTATTCATATTTTAGTATTTCTGATTATTATTTATTTTTCTTTTATTTATCTGGCGTAATCATAACCATAATAGTTGTTGTATGTAAGTAGTATATTAATTTATTTTAACATATATTATATAAATAGGTAGGTATTAAATATATTTATAGTGTATGTATTTATGTAATATTTTATTATATATTTTAATATTTTATTTAACTGTATATTTGTTTATGTATTAATAGTTGTAGCACTTCAGCTGCCCGATAACGAAATGCTTTCTTACTGTACTGGGTTGACTGGAAGAGATCTCTGTCAGAGATAAGCCCACCCTTGCTCACAACATTTATAAATAGATTATTTTATATGTAACTTACAAGTGCAATAAAGAATATATATTGTTTTGTAAAAAATATTCACAAAAGTACTATAATTATTTATGTTCTATCGAATCCGAAGCTAGATGGACAGACTCTAACAATAATAATATAATTATATACATAAGTTGTATATATAACATTGATATATTAGGAGACATAATATTTAAACAATTTGTTTAACAAATGGTTAATTCTACTACCTGTGTATAAAATATTTATTAAAGCTCTACATTGTGTTTTCCTACTCGATATTAAAAATGCTAATGATGTTTTAAAGTGTTAATGTACTCCAAACTCGACGAGAACCGACAAGTCATTCCAGTATGCAGATTTGCAGGCATATCACTAAAAGCACTTCTCCCAATCTGATCCCGAGCGTTCTCAATGGAATTGAGGTCGATGGATTTCACGCGGATCGCTAATACCGGAATATTACTCTCGCGGAAAATCGCAGAACCTGTATTAATTATATGAAGTTATATACTTGAGTAAAGCGGACATGAATGCAAACAATACAGTATAACTCACGACAGTTATTATTGCATAATACTGGAACTATCACAACACATAAAGTGATTAAATAGTATCACCAGAAAAACTTTGGCAAATTACAATTAATATAGAATAAAAAACTATCAAAGTGAGGTCACAATAATCCACCGAGCTTTAGATTCTAGCCTACACTATTATCATAACTATTTACTATATTCATATGGATGAAGAATTTTGAAGATAGTGTAGATAGTGTTGTACGCAAAATTCTAAAAAAGATGTATAAAAGAAAATTGTATTTAGTTTTCCTTTAATAGATTTCTATATTTAATAAATATAATTATTTAATATGAATCGAAATTATTGCATGATAAATCTACAAAACCGAGCAATTATTTGTAAAAGTAATTAAACCTAATCTAACATCTAAATTGACATCGATGCATGTATTTTATATCTATCGATATACTATCTATCGGTTAAGTTTTACTATACCCAAACAGGGTTCATGTACTAACACAAAAACATTGTAACAACTCTCTATTATGTACATTAATGCATTAGAATAAATAAATAATTATAAATTGCAAAAATCGTCAATATTATCCAGTTTTGTTTTCCATCAGAGACGACAAAAATACATTTTCTAAATTATGAAAATATCTAATTAAATGTATCCCTAACTACTAATCTAATTTTTATCTTTGTTCCCTCTATCGTTCTTTTGAGAAGAAATATATGTATATTCAATCATGCATGCCTTATGTTAGGCCAAATAAGAAATTGCATTACCCATTAAGTAATTCAAACTTTAAAATCATCAATATTTTGTTATTTTAGTATATTTAACTCCAATAATAACTGGTAAAAATATATAAACTCTCAATTAATTTCTATTAATGACGTGTAGGGAATAAAACAGTCCAACAATTTCCATTTTTTTTTAATAATTAAGCAATTCCAAGTAAATTGAAGAGTAACATGTTATTATTATTAAGTAAAAATAAAGTAATATCCAAATTGGCATGCAGAGACACGTATATTTTTCTACGTGTGTCATATATTCATACCCAAATGAAGTGTTGAACCTTCCCATATAATATTATTCTAATGATATTCTAACGTCTGTAGGTATCATTGACGCAAACAGAACGTACAGGCTATGAATCCACGTGAGAGAAATTATACCCAGTTTTATTTTACGACAGTTTGTTTATTTTCTCTCAGGGCATTTGGGCGGCTCATGTAAAAATACAAATTCTATTTTTCTTCAAATAAATGTTATTTCGCAAGAACAAATTTAGAAATAGAACATTGTTTGTTAAAGATTATGAAAAAAAATTGTTTAAAATTAATATAGTGAAATATATAAGAAATAATTATATTGAAACTAGCTGTTTACCATAGCTTCGGCCACGTGAAAACATTATCTTTCCTCTCCATAAAAAATAACTAACACATTTTCTTAAGGAATAAATACTAAATACTTTTGAAATAATAAAAAAAATATCCAAATTTGATTACTACCAATTCCTTAAAGAAAAGATTAAAATCATATTATCTTTCCAACTTCGCTTGATGATTTACTTTATTATTATTAATGATTACAAGACTGACGTTATTGTGTTTTCTTGTATTTATATATATATATATATATATATATATATATATATATATATATATATATATATATATATATATATATATATATATATATATATATATATATATATATATATATATATATATATATATAATATATATATATATAGATTTGTAAATTGCGTAAATATTTATTATTGTTGTTATCTGTTTGGCACTACTACCCACTCACTACTTCCTATGCCACTGTGTTAGATTAACTGGAAGAAATCTGGTTTGGGATAAGTTCGCCTTTGCTTACTTTGTTACAATTTTTTTATTGTTACTGTATGTTTTAGTGCCATAAAGAATATATTTCATCGCTTAATACAATCAACGTTTGCATTCCATAGAACAATGCATATGACTACTATCGCATTCAACAACATAATAAGTTGTTTTATTATTAAATTTCGTAAGTACACATTATATTTTAATGTTATAATTACAGGTTTAACTTACGTATAATTTGATCGAGAAAGCTCGACTAGTTTCGGAACCATCTGGGACTTTTAGTTTTAAACGGTTGTAATGGGAGCGCGAGCCTGAATTATTATTATATGTTATTGATTTTATTTGATGTTAATATTAAAAATGTCATAAATTACACAAAAATTTTTTTCATGATAAAAAGAATGAAATAACATGAATGGAATCAAAAACTTTAAAGTATAAAACTTTATTTTTATTAAAAAATAT